CAATCAGTACCAGCTCAGTGAAGAGAGACACACACAGGTGAGTGAGGTCTGGGAAGATTCCAGAAGCGAAACTTGCTATATCCTCAGGGTGTGTCCACCCTCCAAGCACATGATGGTGTGTCACCGACCCCAGAAGCTTTCCAGTCTCCGTGTCCTGCATCTTCGCTGGGATGTCATCACACAGGCGTGGTTGATTGGATTCTTGCCCCACGTGACTGAGTCCATCCCCAGCCTCCCTCTTCTCCAGAGGACCAGCTGATAACGCCTGGCTCTGGTCCCCAACCTTCTCATCACGTGGTTGACCTTCCCGGCAGTGACCAGAACCCCCGTCCTGAGTCCCCTTTCAGCATATCACTCTATGTCAGTGATCCCTCTCACTTAAAAAAAACACACAAAAAAACGCGGAAACCGGTTTGGCTCAGTGGATAGAGCGTCGGCCTGCGGACTGAAAGGTCCCAGGTTTGATTCCGGTCAAGGGCATGTACCTGGGTTGCGGGCACATCCCCAGTAGGAGATGTGCAGGAGGCAGCTGATCGATGTTTCTCTGTCATCGATGTTTCTAACTCTCTATCTCTCTCCCTCTCTGTAAAAAATCAATAAAATATATTTTAAAAAACCCAAAAACATTACTTTCTTAGAAGGAGGAAACGAGCCTGAAGTGGAGATTTGAGGAAAGGTATCCTCATTTGCCTAGTCCCCCAAGGGCCCTCTGCCCCATGGTCCACCCTTTGTTGGAGATTCTTCCTGGTGCTAGGTCTCCTCCTGCTACATCTTGAGGGCCGAGTACACGCAGGTTTCCGGGGTCTGCGGCACCTGGCTGGAGGGGCCCTTGCTCAGGGCTCTGGTGTTCAGCTCAGCGTACGTCACTCCCTGAGGTTCTTCAGCTCTTGACACCTGAGATCCTTCATCCTGAAGGGAAGTGAGGAGAATAGGATCGAGTATTTCATGGAGAAGGGAGGGGTGTTTCATGGTGAGGACTGGGCAGTCATGGTAACAGCGTGGTAGACAGCTTTCCAGGGCCCCTCCCCAGAGCCCTTCCTACTCCTCAAGCCTTTGTGAGGTCCCCTCCCCTCTTTTTTTTTTCTCTTCAACCCTCACCCCAGGATGTTTTTATTGATTTTTAGAGACCGAGGAAGGGAGAGAGAAAAACATGGATGTGAGCTAGAAACTGATCCAGTTGCCTCCCGTATGCGCCCCAACCAGGGATCAAACCTGCAACCTAGGTATGTACCCTGACCAGGAATCGAACCCTGAGCCCTTTGGTGTACTAGATGATGCTCCATCCAACCAAGCCACCGGCCCAGGCTTGAGGGTTAACAGGACCTGGTGTCTTACATCTGTTACAGGAACACAGCAAAAACAAAAATACGCCCAAAGGACTGGATGTTATGTCAAAGATGAGCGGACGAAGGACTGTGCCTTCTCTCATGCCCACTGCCCACGGCTTCTCTACTGTCCCCGGCCGCCCCAGGCTCGCTCACGCTGCTGAAGCCAGCTGCCATGTGAGGAGCTGCCCTACGGAGAGGCCCCCACGGCCAGCATGGTCTCCAGCCAACAGCCAGCAAGGAAGTGAATCCTGGCAGCAACCACCTGGGTGAGTGGAAGCACGGCCTCTCCTAGCGAAGCCCCCATTCAGCCCTGGCCGACGCTCCGCACAGCTCTGCGACCCAGAGGAGACCCAGCTCAGCCTCTCCAGGTCCTCGCCACAGTTAGGTGGATCGATGCTGCTTTACGCCGGTATGTTTAGGATGACTGTACGCAGCAGTAGAATAATTATACTACAGTACCAAAATGAGTGCTAGTAGGAAAC